GCGGTGAGAGTTCCCGCCTGGCTGAGCTGCGGTCCGCCATTTTTCCTTTGTCACTCACGATCAGTTACAAGCTCATCACGTTGTTGTTCGGAGTCTGTGCGCCTGGCTTTATTTATCTATATTAATCCATGTGAATATACGCGTAATTTGCCCAAATTCGTGTTCGAATCGTTTCTACAGCGACCGTCTTGTCTTTAAATCTATCTGTTTTAACTTTCCACGTATATTTTCCGAGATTTCCTAGTTAAACCTGTATCGACCACTTTTTGGAGGTTATAAGAGTGCTGCGATGAATCTGGCTAACAAAATGTGTGAATTCTGAAAACTTGAAGGGCGTTTCGCAAAATTGTTCTGTTATTTAGTGAGTGTTGGTTCTGTATAAAGTCATTGCGAAAGCGGGAAGATACGGAAGTCCCTTGAAAATGATAGTTAGTTATTATAATTTTAAGACATTCAGCGTCTCAGGCTGACCAGTGATTACTGAATACTTCGTTCGTATATCTATTTATGTTAAAATTTTAGAGAATCAAAATACTCTGATGCCGAGTAAAATTTTCCTGGGATATTTGTTGAATATAAGCTAATCAAAATTTGACAGTTTCTGTCCCATCGTGAACTGTGGCAATTGGTACTGCGTGTAGTTTATTTTTGTAGGTATATTTTGAACTATCTACCTATCTACTTATTATGAAATTAAACTTTTTGTGAAACTGATTTAGTCTGTAAATGATACTTTGACAGTAAAAACAAGTTTCGTTTTGGTATCATTTACTTGAAATCGGTGAAGCAATTATCTGCTATTTCTCGTCAAATTTGCTTTAACTGCCGGTAATTGTATGTGTGCTGGAATCTTTAATCAAAAAGTAAGTAAAATATCTACTACTTTCATATCAAATTTGTTTCTGCTAATTTGAGTTAATATTTAAAAATATATATGTTGAGTGGATGTTAGAATCCATAAAGTTCGTCGGAGCATCTGGAATTCGGGAAGCTTGAAATTACCATAGGCAGTTGGAAACGCCACACTAGCATGGTGTCAGCCGTATCGTGTAATTTACAATACTGGTATATTGGTAACTAACTAAACTGCATTTATTGGAAAAAAGCAAGAAGACAGCATGGTTAATAATAACCAAACACTGGTAAATCCGATCATATGTTTTTTTGTAGCGTGTGTAGTAGAAATAAAAAGCAGTATAATAAAGAAAAAAACAGGCTGTGCGATTTAAAGAAATGAAACAAATGATCACAATTACAAATCTAGATTCGAATTCCTAGTTATCACACTCAAGCAGATCGACGTTGACGGTTAAATATAGATTTTTTGTGCTCCTTCATCATCGGTCGTCATAGCTCAATCGTTAGGGTGTTAGGTTAGGATTAGGTAGGTCCAGGTTCAATCCCAAGTAATAGGTTGAAAAAATTCTATCGTAGTAAAATAAGTTGAATAAAATAACAAAATTCATATTTTTCATTTTTACAATTTAGCGTTCTCAGATATTCATTTTATGGGGCTCCTGGCCCCCTATTTTCCATTAAAAGCCCCGAAAAATTGTAGCAATGACCGCTGTCCATTTTGGCAAAACTAAGCGGGCATGGTAGCCCTCAAAATGGGTCACTTTGACCTAATTGCTGAGCGCTGCGGCCGAGCGCTCGGGTTGATCTAACCATCTTCGCAGGGCTGACCCAGCCGCGCGGCATGAAGGCAGCGTCACTACCTGCTGGTTGTCGATCTAGCCAACAATTTGGTTGGCGCGGTTTTCAGCTTTCGAAGATGGTCGAATCGACCATCTTCATGGCTGCACGAGACAACCTTTTTTTTCCGTGTATTATCTGACTATCATTGTTCATTGTTTTACTGCAATATTTCATCAAGCAGTCATTCCAAAACGCGTCCTTCTAATTTTAAAGTATAATTTTAAGTAAAGTTTAAAATTAAAGTTTACCTCATATCGTAATTGTTTAGGGGAAAAATAAAACTAACACTGATAGGAGGGTAAAAATAGGGCCGCAAAGCGGCCCATTGATGGCGCGGAGCGCCTCCTGGGGGTTGGGCCGCGTAGCGGCCAGGGGGCGTAGCCCTCTAGTAGTTTCTACAAATCATGAGGTATCAGGAAAGCGTAAAAGTGCATTGCGGGTGATACTCTCAGGATAGCGAGGGATATCCCCTCCATTACAGCATCAACTTTCAGAGCTTTTTTCAGTTTTGGAATTTGTCTCGGAGGAAACTGATAAAACCATCGAGTTTCTCGCGGAATTGTGCATAATAATCAGTACTTAAATCACTAACTCCTAACACATGCAAGATCTCCATTCCCTTTCGATGTTACCTTTCCTGTTGTGCGTGGACATCACTTTAATTTTGCGCTCAGCATGATCTTTAACAACTTTTATGACTTAACTACTTTTTTTACCTCAAGATATTCTGAAATAAATAGCCATGGGGCTGGGCAAGAGTCTAGAAATGAAAATGGCAAATCCATAATATTGTAAAAAGGCTAGAATGTTGATTGGGGAGAAGCCTGGACTTACCGGGCATTCTTCAGCGTAGGTACACATTGAGGAGGACATATGTCATATTGGGGCCCCGAAAAATGACCCAGAAGTCATCGCAGATCTCAAGAAGTTTCGCAGCTTTAACGAGAGTACCTACAGCAGGTAGTGTCGTGCTCCGTCATTTATCCAGCCACATTTGGTACCTCTGAAGTAAAAATTTGGTTCCCTTGGCATTATATAATGAGAGACTTACATCGAACACTAAGAGAGTCTTTGTTCACAACATGAGACACAGTGTAGGGTTGCCGAATCCATCTATCCGCCAAAACGTACAATTTAACGAATGCCTAGGGTCTAGACAATTATTTTCATGATATCTTACAAGTCACAGCCAAGTCAATAAAACCATACAAAAATAACAAAAATCGTCTGTGAACCATTTTAAGACTTTAAGCCTTTAACTAAACTATGGATTATTTGATTTAGTTCATTAACTTTGAACTGTTTAATTTGTTGAAATTGATTTTCCTACATATCGCCAATATTTTACAAAGAAAATTTGTCTTTTTGATATATTTATACATTTCAACTGTTTTTTAATGTTAAAGTGTATCCAGGTCAATTCGTAAAGATAGGTACATTGCAACGGACGGGAACTTTCGGGCCCGCGTAAGCTTAGTGCGTGCGTGCGGCATGTTGCTTAGGCAGTGCAGAGGACGCGCGCGCGTTGCTCTACGGCGCGGCTCGGCGCGCCCATTTTGCTCCTAGTGTCTCTCGTTGCGCGCGCATTTCTCGGGTGTTTTGCGGCTTTTGTGTTGCAGATACGACCAAACGGACGAAATTTTCGCCCTTCAGTACCGTAACTCGGCGTTTTTCATGGGGAACCAGTGTTATTTTGTCTAAAAATCTCAAATTTCAACCTGTGTAACTTAAGTTGTTTGAGCACCGGGTAAAAATTGTTTTAAAGTTTTGTCCTCGTACGAGGCTTCTAATGTATCAACACATCAACTTTCAAGACTAGGACCTCCTTCGAATTCGAAAATTTAAGAAAATAAGAAACACCCTACTCAGCGAATAGGAGATGGTCTATTCATCCGAAAAAATTTTACAAGTCCAAAAATCCGAATATTTTACACAATCTGAAAACAATGCACGGAACAAAACCGCGTATACACATAAGATAGGTATGTGTCATAGATGTGTTTTTACCATCAGATATACATCCTGTAAATAGTAAAAGTCAAGACCCCCATTTATTCAAGCAAGCACGAAAACTCGTGCATACACATTAGATATGTATGTGACTTAGGTTAAAGTCGAATTTTCTCGAAAACGAAAAGACATATCAAAATTCGATCAGTAGAGTTTTCCGATCTTCCATACTGTAAAAGAATCACATCGGTCCAGGGTAAATTTGAGGAGGGGAATTATCCGAAAATATTTTCCAGCGCGGGACTTAGAAAATGTTTTAATTTCCCGAATCAGACCCTACTCTACAGTCTCCGATACCAGACCCATACTGTAAGATATGGTTTATCGTGGATGTTGAAAATTTTTACAGGTCCGAAATCTCGAAAACAAAAAATCGTATCAAAATTCGATCCATACAGTTTTACGATCTTCGAAAGTGTGAAAGAATCGCATCGGTCCGGGGCGGATCGGAGGAGGGTAATTTTCCGAAAATTTTTTAATTTCCCGAATCAGACCCTACTCTCCAGTCTCCGATACCAGGCCCATGCTGTATGATACGGTCTTTCGAAGCCGAAAAATTTTACAAGTCCGAAAATCCGATTTTTTTGCACAATCTGACAATATTGTATCGAAAAATTACCTAATTTCTTGCACCATCTGGCAACACTGTAATATTTGATGATGTAAAATTTCACCCATAAACAAATCATTTATTTATATGCACCGTCCGACAAAGCTGTTGCATAACCGCCATCTTTAAGAATACAACATTGCATAAACCGCAGATTGAAGGGGTTACATTACACCATTGCATAACGCGCATATTGAAGGGGCAACATGCGATACTCTCTTTTTTACAGCGTTGCCATATTGAATAATAATCACCGTACAACAGTGTAATTTAATTCGTATTTTTCTGCATCATCTTGCAACGCTGTTGGATAATTTACTGTTCTCAAATTCCTGTTTTCACCCCACTCAAATGGGTGATTTCACGATAACAGGAATACCAAAAACGTGCAACTCCTTAAAAATTAAAGTGCACCAACTTTCATATTTATTAACATTTAGGTATTATTTTTTTATTTATTCATTAAACATCTTTCATTTCTACATTTCTATTGTTTTAAAGTTTCTCTTTCCAGCTTTGGCACGAACTATTTAGACTCAGTAGGAACAACGTTTTGACGCGGCCCAGTTCACTGAAGGCGCTCCGCGCCATCAATGAGCCGCTTCGCGGCCCTATTTCTAGCCTTCGGTCAATGTTGGTTTTATTTTTCCCCTAAAAATTTCCGATATGAGGTAAACTTTACTTTTAGAATAAAATGATTTTTGTTTTTGATGAAGAAAGGAAAAGAAATTGTCGGTTTTTCTGAATGAAAAACAGCAAACGAAAAAGGTGGAAAACTGAAAAGACCGAGGTTTCGAGGGAACGAACTACATGTATTCACATCAGAGACAAAAGACAATGGGTTATGCACCGTCCGACAACGCTGTTGCATAACCGCCATCTGGAAGAATACAACATTGTATAAACCGCATATTGAAGGGGTTACATTACACCATTGCATAACGCGCATATTGAAGGGGCAACATGCGATACTCCCTTTTTTTACAGCGTTGCCATATTGAATAATAATCACCATACAACAGTGTAATTTAATTCGTATTTTTCTGCACCATCTTGCAACGCTGTTGGATAATTTACTGTTCTCAAATTATTGTTTTTATCCTACTTATTTGAAGCTTGTTTCGTGAGGAAAACGAGAAATTTACCTAAAAAATTTCGGAGAAGGTGAATGACTTTTCAGAAGCACGTTGGGTTAATTTGGAATTTTTTCACCTCTCTAAAGATTCCTATCTATTTTCAAGATTTTTAGTAAAGAATGATTTTTTTAATTACACCGTTTCATTGTCTCCCGACGGCTGATGCTAAGAGTCTCTAATCGAGGCATCCTCGATTTCAATGTTCGTGAACTTCAATGCAGCTGGGTGCTCTCAAATAAGGTTTCTATGACGATAAGATGGCGGAGGGGGAGGGGCGCTGGCAGATGTATGGTCAGGACCTTAAACATGGTATCAAGGCCCGAGATGGGATGCGTAGGGTCCGTACACTTCATTGTCATAAAAAGCCCATACCATACTTCATTGGTACACCATTTCTTTTTGGACAGTGGTACTGACTGCACATACCTAAACGTGACATTAAAAAACTAAAGTAAGAAGTGTTGAATCTTCTTCAATCGTCCCTGATGCAATTTAAGGTGCACGAGCATTTTCTACCTGACCTTGAGCACAATCTCTTGTTGACTCCAGAATGTTTCTAGTTTACCTCAAGAACGTCCAAAGAAGCTGGGCTTGAAGAAATCCTGAAGCATGGTTCATGTAAAATACCGGATTCTTGGCCAAGACACCCGGCTCGTCATGGTAAATTACCCAAGAAACAAAGGTTTTAGGAGACGGTTCTAAAAACACTTAAATTAGAAAAAGAGAATTTTATTTGGAGATTTCTTTAAAAAAGAAAAAAAAAACTTTGGGATTTATACAGAAAAATCAATTTCCAATAGATGACAGGTTTGAGCAAAAATGTGGGGAAAACCACTTTTCATTCATTCATTTTCGTTGTCGTTTTCGTAACTCTTTTCAATGTATAAATTGGTCAGTTTAGGTAACTAAAGCCAGTGCGCATACTGTGTGAGTCATGATAATTATGCTAATATTCTATCATATGGGTTTATAATCTTCATTTGAGCAGACCGATCGGTCTCCATTGGACGTTGTAACAGCGTTGATGACTTTACGGATTTTGCGATGAATGTTGACAAACCTCTGCTTTTTCTTCTTCCTGCTTCTAGTCGCTTTATCATCTTCTGGCATCTGATTTTGGATTTTCATGATTTCTGCTTTACTAACGCCACCTAAAATAAGAAAAAAATCCAAGATTTGGAATTAAACATTAGAAAAATAGTTAATAGAATTTGTTTTATATACACTGATTCGATGGGTGTGCCTAATGTTTTAACATCAAAGATGAGAGTAGTCAGGTTATTGTCGTCCCAAAATATCGAAATATGGTAATGTTGCATGTGTGAGGAATTTTCGATTTGACTATTGATTTTTATGTAAAAGTTCGCGAGAAACACGATAGTGCCACTAGTTTCCTGGTTCAAGTTCAATATGGTTCAAGTTCCCATGAAGATAGTCAGCCATTCTTCAAAGCCCTATTTAAAAGGAACTAAATTCGCGTGTAATTTTTAAACTTTGCTTTGCCACAATTGGTCTGACTCCTCGTGATCTGGGAAGTTGCAAGAATCAGAACCAGCATTGATGCGCTCTCTCGCGGGTAACGCCGAAACCCTAGTTGTCACTTTCACTTTTCTCCATTAGTAGCGCTCTTCTTTCGTTCCGGTTCTCTGATTCGCACTGAATTTTCCAGATCCTAGACCCAACTCCGGGAGCCATTTTGCATGTTTTTCTGTTTTCAATTGAGTGCAAAGTCCAAGTGCGAGTGCGCTTTTTCGCGTTGACCAGGCCTTGTGCCTGGTCACTTTTTGTCTCAACTCCTTGTCGGCCGGCCAATAGTTTTGTCTGTTAAGTTTTACCTGTCTTTTAATCGTCGCATCTTCATCACCTCGAGCATTTCCTGGGTAACCTGGAAGCCTGGCGCACCTCTGAGATAGCTGCCTGCAACAGCGGTTTGCAGCCGCCCATTTAAGCCCCATATTGGGTCAGTTTGCCATGTGAATTTTGACTTTATCTCGAGCTTTCAGGCTCTCTAGCCTCGTGGCGATTCTGCCCAAGTCATTCCTAAGTCAAGGGCCCTGTGCATGCTAGTTACGATGAAGCGAGGGAAACCTCACTTTAGCATTGGTTTTTACATTCTTGTTGTCCATTTACAATTTTCCTCTTATTCTTGAGTAAGCTCTGACCTTGACCAAGTACCATGTGCACCTAAGTCAAGTAGCCTACCAAAGTCAGTGATCTCTTGGAACCTCTCAGCCTTGCAATGGCAAATTAAACATATTATTTTCAGTTCTTTTTCAGCACAAAAATGTTGGCTTTTCTAGCAAATCTAACTAGTTCATTTTGACTCGGAGAACGCATGGAAGCTCTCCGATCTGATTGCCTGTCGCAGAGACCTAGTTTCTGGTTCTCGTTACCGAACTCCTTGGCAACCTCAGAAACTGGTCGTTTCTCCTGTTGCATTGACCTTAGGCCTTGTTGGCTAGGAAGAAGCGAATTGGTTGTTATCCTCACTCAGCGAATAAGGAGATGTTTCCATTTTCCTCTTGGCCACACTGTCTATCTCTAGCGAGCTACTTACTTTTGAGGTAAGCTACAAGCATTACTCAGGTGCGATAAGCACTGTGTTTTCTCTTTGATTATGATCATGAGCCATTTTATGTCTCTTAAGGTTTATCTACAGCTGCGTGAAGTAAGAAATTTCTCCGCGCAGGGGGCGCCACCGCTGTGTTTTAGAGTCCGTACAGCTCCACGTGAGTCCTTGAGCTTTTATAAAAGTTGAAGGAATTTCTGTTTAAATCGAAGAGTTATAAGTTCTAGCCATAACATTCTTCTTCCTATTGACCCTAAAAACGACGTGAAAAGTCATTTCTGAAGCTCAGCAATTTGATCCCAGAAAAAAGTAGGGTTAAGCATGATGACCTTGATGCAACCAATCGCGCTTGATCGCTCTCAGCAGTTGGCAGATATCTCTCTCCCACCGTGAGCTGTCTCTCTCGCACTTACAGATATCCCGTAAGAGAAACTGGGATCAATTTACAGCTTTTTTTATATGACTTTCAAAGCTCGCGTTTGTTTCTAAGGATTCCAGACGTATGCTGCTAGAACTTATGAGTCTTAGAATTTAAGATACCTATTGTGATATTTAAATAATCACTGATTTCGGAGTCAGATTTCAGCAGCGCGACGTGGTGGATTTTTTCGGAACTACAGCTGAAGATTAACCTTAAGCTGGCCCTCTTCTATTCAACAATTTAAGACTGTAGGATACCATAGCTCCTTGTATATGTATTATTGTCTATTTTTCTCATTTGCAGGATTAATCAATTGTTTGTTATCTTATCTCTGTGCCTATTTTGGCCTATTTCTAATACATGCTGCTGCAAAGTGAACTACAGTATTAGTAGTAGGAATGTGGTGATTTAAGAACAGTAAAATGTCCAACAGCGCTGCAAGAAGGTGCAGAAAAATACGAATTAACTCACAGTGTTGTATGGTGATTATGGTTCAATATGGCTACGCTGTAAAAAAAGGAGTGCTGTATGTAGCCCCTTCATTATGCGGGTAATGCAATGGTGTAATGTAACCCCTTCAATCTGCGGGTTATGCAATGGTATATTCTTCAAGATGGCGGTTACGCAACAGCGTTGCCGGACGGTGCACATAAACAAATGATTTATTTATCTGTGAAATTTTGCAACTTCGAATTTTACAGTGTTGCCAGATGATTCAAGAATTTATGTAATACGATTTAAATAATATCGTAATACGCGTTTATGAAACATACGCGTTCCAGAAACGTACGCGTTTAGAAAACGTCCGCGTTCAGAAAACGTAGGAGTTTAAGAAACGCGAGGGATGTCAATCATTGATCCCTTCTCCTTCTCCGAAGTTTAAATCAACACTCATGTCATCGATTTTCCGATTGTTATTTTTACGAAACATCCCGATGAAACGGAACTTGCAGTCGGATGATAGGTACTTGGAGTACAGGTACAGAGCGGAGCAAATGAGCGCCAGTAAACTCAAGATGAATAGAAGATTGCCCGTCAAGGTAGAGGGTGCGCATTTGATTTCCGGATGGATCGGGCACATTGTGATAATTGCTTCGGATGAGTTTTCCGCCACCGTTGTGGAATTCACTCCAACGACGGTTACGATGCTGATGAAAGTGATGAGAATTATTTCATCGATCATGATTTCTTCCTTGCGATACTGAGAAGAGAATACATACTATTTACACGAAATCCTTACTATCGATCCAACTATTTAACTCGCGTCCTGACCCAACCATTTGACAAAGGCCTGGTTTTTCTTGCGACGCAGAATTTTCTCCACCAGAAACGTATCCTTATAGTTGGTGGGTTGGAGTTCTTCGCGGTAGAATTTTCCATTGATGATCGTATCGTGCGCGTCTTTCAGATCGTACGTGATCGGAACGGTCGGATTGACGCTGACAATCTTGAAAATTTCCGTGCTCCAATTCGGTGTGTATCCTTTCTCGAACATGGCTTTGAATCTTGAGATTCGGACGTGATCACCGACTTTCAGTTTTCGTCTGGCCAGACGTCTCTTTTCAATTTTACTCAGCGGCGGTCCACGAAGCTTTTGCAGGATCATCGGTACATCCTTTTCGGGGACATCAATTGGTTTCATCCCGATGGTGCGATGAACGCTACCGTTTTATTCACGGATGAGTTTCGGTACCCCCCACTTGTGCGATCCTTGCGCGCTGAATTCTTTCCTCATCTTCGTTTTGAGCGTTCGGTTGAATCGCTCGACGATGGAGGCTTTCATTGTTGAGTACGGGCTGCACATATTGATTTTGTGACGTTTCATTAATGTTCGACATATGAAATTGTAGAATTCCGAGCCCATATCAACCTGTAAATGTTTCGGAGACTTTCCAGCTGCTTTGAGAACGCGTTGCATGGCATTAGTGACATCCGTGGCCATTTTCGATTTGAGCGGTTCGGCCAACGCCATTTTCGAGCAAGCGTCGATGACGGTGAGGAGATATCTGTATTCTTTGTTGACCGAGGCGTACGGTTGCATCTCGACGAGATCGGCCTGCCATAAATCGAACGATCCGAGAATCCGTACTTTACGACGCGGATAGTTTCATCGTGCAGGTTTATTTACCTCCTCGATCCCACGTTTCTCTGCCAACATGATAATTACCGTCGACGTCGTCGTCCGCTCTCTCGATTCAAATGCTGTTTCGTTTGTACAATTCTAGCCAGACGATTGTAAGATTGCTAAAGTCGTTGGATACGCTCCAGACAGTGTTGACCTAATTTCATGGCTTCCCCCCACTTCCGTTCGGACCATTGTTTGTTCACCGCATCCTCATTGCTTTCGGGATCTTGCACTTGACGAATCCGCTTGTTCGATACGATGTAATTTCCGTTGAAATCCAGTGAGAATCCGTCACCTCTTGGACCTCGGCACAATTTCGATCGGCCAAAACCGTCGGTGTGACCCATCGCAATAATATTTTCCTTTCGCTTGATTCACAACCTCTAATTGATTGATCCTATTTTCCAGTCGTGATTATTTCGTATCGAATCGTTGCATGATACTTTTATATTCTTCCATTTTCTCAAAACAAAGCTGTGTCAAATTCATAACAAAGCTGTTGCATAACCGCCATCTTTAAGAATACACCATTGCATAACCCGCAGATTGAAGGGGCTACATTACACCATTGCATAACCCGCATATTGAAGGGGCTACATACAATACCTCTTTTCTTAACAGCGTTGCCATATTGAATAATAATCACCATACAACACTGTAATTTGATTTGTATTTTTCTGCACCATCGTGCAACGCTGTTGGACATATTGCTGATCTTAAATCACCATTTTTGGCGCGTATACGTAGTATACCGCCTTTGCGATCGCTTCGACCCCCCACTCGATACAATAACCGAGTCCCTTAGTTCCTTACCGGAAAGTGACTACCGCGAACTTCTAAGATTTTCCAAAGCGTGTAAGAAGTTTACTAATCCGTCAATAATTATGATTTAAAGTTGTATCTCATTCTGGAGCTTTCTAGTTTATGTGTAATAAATACCAAGAGTCTACGTTCCTTGGTTTTGTTAAAAAAACTTAAGAATGCTCAGCGCTAATTTAAAATATGCATACAAGTTAAATTCTCAGCGAGATTTTTAGGAAGCAGCAACTGCGCCAGGGCTCAAAAAGCCCGGGATAAGAAATAAATCAGAGTGAGATGCGGGTAACAACACACAAGGATTTTATTCACATTTGGAGAAACAATAGAACCAGAGCACTAACGGTAGGACACGAACAGTGATAGAGGGAACCGGTCCCATCAAAAGTAGCTATCAGGGACTGCGATTGAAACAAGAGCAAAGTGACAATCAATTTATAATGAAAGATAAGTAGGGCAACTCGCGTCACAGACGGCAAGTTGGACTAGAGGGGGATTTGACTTTCCACGAAAGTCACCGAAATAGTCTTAATAAGGCAAAATTTGGAACAAGGGTCATGATTAGCAATAAGATTATGAAATTATGCTGACCAGGCAGCCTAGAAAGAAAGGCCGCGCGTGTCAGGCTGCCAGATAACTAAGAAAAAGAGAGAGAATGTAACTCCTCCCTTGTTAGATTGAAATTAGAAGATTAAATGAAAATTTAGAAATTTACAAAATTTACTAAAGTTTCTTAAGCAAAAATTTCAACATAATTATTCCCTTGAAGAGGGCTGAAGATTAATGGGAAACTGTAATAATGGAATCGATGGAACCGGAGCTCCGGTCTCAACTTCTACTGGGGAAGAAACAAATTCTCGAGTAGCGAGAACAGTGGCGTTTCGAGCTTTACGAGTTCTACAACAGATTAATATTATTGAAAACGTAAATAACAAAAACAACGTAAGGCAAATGCCATAAAGAACATACCAATGAATGTGGTGGTTAAATTCAGTAGGTTTGATAGAGGTAGGAGCGGAAGAATAATATTCTGGACTGAGTTCCATTTGCAAAGTGCTCAGGCTCAAATTAAATGGTAAAAGTGAAATTGATGAGTTCTCAAGACTCAAGGAAAAATCTGAAATTAACATTTCGGCTGTAGTATTTAAACTAGTCGGAAGGGTTTGATTTCTGAATTTAATGGCACAATCTCTGTTATAATAAAGGTAAATTCCACTTAGCAATTTTTTGTCTGAATAAGAAGGACAATTAAATTCAATTACTTCAGGATGAGCAAAATAAAAGACATATTGGGAAGTTTCATAAATATTCTGAATGAAACTATCATTAAGATTTACAAAAACCTTTGGACAAAATAAAACTGGAACACGTCGGACAGCTTGTATACTGCAGGAGTCACGGTGCATCGGAGTGGCTTCTGAACATTGGAAGCGATTTGGCAACTTGACGCATGCCGTAGTTGGAGACAGGTAAGTCGATGTTGATGAATCCTCTAACAGGTAGCGGCGTTCTGGAATAACTGACAAGTAATATTCTGACCGTACAAAAGAGGGAAGGGAGAGTAACCTATACAGTGTATAATTTGTCTCGAAATTTACAGGTACAGAAATGTAATAGTAAATTTTTCCAGATTTCAACTCACAAGAAACTTTGAGAAGTTCTTCCATTAAATAAGGAGGTAAAGTAGCAAGATCTAACGGAATGGACTCATGAAAATAGGAGTAAATACTCTTAATTTCTTGTCGAAGATCAGTAGGAGAGATTACAGAAGGATGCAATTGCCCATTGTTACAAAACATCAAAGAAACTTCAATCTCTTGCAACAAAGTTAAGAGTGTTAATCCATAGCTGGATAAGTAACTTAAGGTTTCCGTAAAATGATGATCATGGACTTCTGAGAAGGTTTCATTTTGGATTTTTTGCAAATAAAATAATTTTTCACCAAGTATTTTCTCATTTTGTTCAACCCTTTAAAAGGTTTCTTGATTTTTGTTAATAATGGCCGTAGTTAAGCTGTAACCATTTTTTACCTGATTTTCTAAATTTATTTCATTTTTATCTAAATTTCGAGTAATAGACTCAAGCCGTTGTTGATCCAAATCATCCATGTTTCCTGTTACAAAAGAAATTGCACGTGGAAGAAAATTTGCTATTCCTCGCTTAGGGCGCGGAGAAGCAGGAGAAAGATAATTTAGTTTATCTAGAATGCTATTTCCAAGAAGCTTAATTAGCTGTAAACTGGACGTATAATTATCATGTTTGTCAATCACCATTTTCATTAAAGTACCATAGGTATTTTGATACAAAGTTAATTCTGTTCTGACAGAAGAAATATTGAGATAGTGAACAAAAGTGTGCGTAGTTTTTTGTAGGTTAGCATATCCTAGTCTAAGGGGTAAGACACCTGGGTTAGTAGTAATGTTAGTGATGCCACCTAGTGCTGCCACTGTTCCCAACCATCTGAAACAAATGTCATTCAGCATCAGGTACGAACAAAGTTCCCTGACGTTTCTTGGGTCTTTTAGTCTGATCCACATGAACTTTTTGCTTTACATTTGTTCGGGGATTGACAACAGCTAAGGTACCTCTGTCCTTGTTAAACTTGTTAATTTTTGAAACTTGGAATCGGGGAGAAGTTTTTTGATTGGCAATCCTCTTAACCAGCTTCCTATAAACAGGTTGCTTTAATTCAGGAGGGTCTTCTCGAGTGAGATTCCGTTTTTCCAAAACTTTTTCCTTTTTATTAATTATCCTATTATGAACAGTATCAAAGACAAATTTAGAGAGTGCACTATGCTTACTAACATAATCCTGGGGAGACAACATTTCATCATTACAATTTAAAGGATCATTTTTTATGTGACAATTTATGATCTCAAATGGAGTCATTTTAGTAACACTACTTATTGAGTTATTGTACGCTAAAACTGCCATTTGTACAAGTTTAA